CGTTTTTGTGGGAGGCTCGAGGATATTTAGGCTGGTGAGTTACAAGGCAATTTCAAATAACGGATAAATTCTATAATCGCTTATTAACATACATGTTTATTAGATACTGCAAACCGATTTTTACGTTTACTTAATGGAATGTCTTATCCTGAAGATTTTCCTTCTTCAAATGGCAGAGCTTAATCGAATTATTTCAGTGAACCTAGATCGTCTTCCAATTCACGGAAAGCAACAATACGATTTATCATTGAAGCAGCTCATATTTTGGGTTGAGATAAAATCTACAAAAGCCAGCTAGTCTGAGAAGTGTATCTCAAAGTCTTGGTGACCTAAAAACACTAATACAACACAAACATATCGCTGGTGTTCAATATTACAGTGATACCTCTATGGCAGTGACGCGTACTCACGTTGGAGGATACTGTAAATATCGCTCTTTTATTGTTGCGGACATATTACTGATTCTTGCTTGTGGGGAACAAGGAAATCGAAATGGAAGACCATTCCGATATTTGTATAAGTGTCTACTACTATATTGGTAAGTAGAAATTTGTAAGTCTGAACGTTTACTACTTATTAATAATTTGTTGGTAACATACGCTCCCTGGTTACAATATCTAGCGGATTGCTTTGATCAATGAGCGTTTAATCGGGTATCTGCGCAATTTACGCGTGAATCGAAAACAACAAAGCGACATGAAGCCCGATAGCAAGTACGGCTGAGTCCGTTACAAAAATTCTTTATTCGTCTTTCGCTTCGAAATTGTTTGTTTTGTAGGATTCGTATTTTGATGTACATAAACATGTATATTCTTGTCGACTAGAATTTTTTTTAAAAAAGTAGAAAATTATTCTTATTAAGATGCACTATTACTATGACACTAAATTAACGATCCCGGACAAGCTAGCTTGGAGTATGTGGAATCAGAGACGTGTCGAAGTCATGATCAGAAAGTGCGGAAAGATTGGCTTCCGTATTTGGTAATAGTAATGAGAAATGATATACGGATAATATGAGTACAATACATGGGAGAATCGCTTTAAAAGCATATACCCAGTGTCCTAGGAAATGTCTATATGACAACATTTTGAAACAGACTGTAATAATAAGCGCATCGACATTTCAATGATATAATCAATGTCTAGTAAATAAAGCCTTACGCTTAACTCACAACATATTGCTTATTAGCGAGCAGAATCGTCTTCTGTCGATAAATGTTAACATGATCTTCATTTTCTCTTGCCATTCCCAATCTCCCGCTGCTTGTCTTTAAGCTACCGAAGCTTCTCTCATTTAATACTGTAATCATTTTTCATATAGCGGTATAGCGTCGAGTTATCGAATTCTACAAAGGCGACTCTTCGATGAATTTTCGACCAGGTATCCTTTGCATCTCATCCTGATTTTCCAATCCACGTCGTTACAAGGTTCTCATCTCAATAGTAACTATATCTCCCGATAGATGAGACGTTTCTGGGGTGTGGCCGCAGTATAGTCGTATATTGTGTCTGAAGAGTACTTGTGATCCGGTTTCTACTGTTACAAACGGAAGGCATAGTAATAATCACATCTGATTATGTTTCGTAAAAAGTCTTTTGGGGGGTTCAAGGAGGTTCTATTATTCTATCGCTCGTTTAACAAGCGTCCTTCTTATATAGATAAGATTCTCGGTTTTTTATTATATTCTTGTTTGGTGTTGTATGCTAGTATTTCTTCTTTGGTGCAATAGGGTTGAGCTGAGCCTTCCTATATTCTTCGTCAAACCGCTTCATTAGGTCGTCATCAAATATTGCCATCGTATATCGATGCGTTGACAAAGTGTCTATGAATTTTGGTTAGATGATACATCGACCTGTCAATGGATGTCGCTTGATATGATATGGTCCTCGCTTTCTGTATAGTTGTACGAACTCTTTCGTAGAGATAGGTTATGTGGTCGATAAATTGTGTTTTATTTAGTGTTAGGGGTGAGGACTTGCTTATGAGTTGTAGTATGTATGGAGGTTTGCATTCTGTGCTCACTCATTTACCTAGAGGGAGTTGACGCATTCTGTAGTGATGGCCGAGGGCCAACACTCATTATATAAAAAGTATGCCTCGTAACAGGGTCGCTACGTGTGTGTTAATACTTAAAGAGTACCGTAGCTTTCTATACCGAAGCGGAATATATTATCCGACATGTTACACAGCGGGTTGGGATAGTGTTCTCGCCGATCATTACTTTAAGGGCATAAATTATGGGCTTTGGATGATTTTTTTTAAAAAAATGTTCGTACCAAAAAGTTTTATATACATAAACTGATGATAACGTCAATAAAAGGCCTCATTTTTTTGTTGTTAAGAAGATCGAGTTTATATAGTCTCAATTTGGTGCGCGTACCTGTTCTCTCATGGAAGATATGAAAAAAGTTGATACACGAAAAATTCGTCACCTGAATCATGTGAGCATACAAAATGTCGAACTTCAAATATTCGTAACAAACTTGGTCATTTATGTATGCGTCAAGTATATAAATCCCCTATTTCAATATTGTATAAATCATACATTTTTTCTTTTGTGTGTTTGTTTGATAGAAATGAACATTAACCTTAAGGGATAATAACATTATTTTCATAATTAGTATATAAGGATTGTTAATATGCCTAACAATGTTGTAAAGCTTTTGTCTTCCATTATTTGGGTGACAAGAATAATGACAGCGATGGTTAATAGGTTCCCGATAGATCGTCCCCTGACAGGAAAGCATAAGATCCTTCTTATTAAAAAGCTAAATATACGGTATAACATGTGTTAAACACCGTTTGTTTACCTTTATCGATGTTCGCGGAACGCCGACCGCGCCGCATGTAAATTCTTAATATAGTAATAAGGATAAATGTGTGACTGACACCATTTTGTGTCAAGTAAAGTTGCAGTAACTGTCTTTAAATGGTAAGTCTCACCTGAATCGAAATGAAAATTGCCTTTATCGATCGCTTATGGAGCGATCATTGATTTGAAGCAAAATAATCACTTGTGGAAATGCTTGCATATTTTTACATGACCCAAGTCTCAACGATAACTGCATCTAGAGCACAGCAGCTAAGTCATGTGGGGGTGGAGTAGGAAATCCATCTACTTATAAGTTGCAGGTTTTCCTTCCGTGTCTGAACAACAAACTGCTCACAACACAGGAACTTTAACTTATCGAACACGTCTAAATATCAATTTAACTCAATACACACACACGCACCATATTCCGTAATCTTACTATCCACACCCATTAAAATGACTGGCAATTTTTCGCAAAAGAAAGAAATAAAAGGCATCAAAAGTCAATATGAAGACTTGCCTACGAGTCAAAAGAAGCGTGGATGCAGAGAGCAGCAAGATTTATACAGAAAGGATGTGCCTCCAACTAACGGCATGGCTCCAATGAGCTCAGCGAATAATTTACGATTGGCAAAAGATGTACCAACGAACGACGGACCAAATATTTTTGATGATGATGATAATAAGTGTACTTGTAAGACATCAGAAATTGACACTCCACACAATAAGAATGTAAAATATAGAAATAGGCACAATACATTCGGACAGTTTGATCGTCTACTTGATTTTATTTTGTATAGTGATGGTTATACGGAATAAGATGAACGGCATGACCCGCTGAAATGATTGAGAAAAGACAACTTGTATTTTCATATTTTTCATAACGCATTTTGACATTATTCATTATTACTGTATTGGTTTCTTTATTTTTTCATAACGCATTTTGACATTATTCATTATTACTGTATTGGTTTCTTTATTCTGCATTGATCAACCTATTAGAAGTATACGTGTATAACAAATACTCGAACATAGTGATACGCTTTCCCCTTTTCAATTTCCATACGCCTTTCTGTTGAACCAATCAAACTGATACCCAACTTACAATATATCGTTGACACTGTATAGCTTATATCTTATTGTATGTTCGACATCTAATACATAAAAAATTGCGCCGAGACGTGGAAAAAAGTCAGTGTTGATATTATTTAAATTTTTATTGTCAAGCAATTTTATCAACATATTAATAGCATATACAGTTGTCTATCATTATTAATAATCAATGTGGTATTAATAAACGCTCGTTAACTGATAAGCCCATTCATCGCAATCGACTGTCAACATAACGCATAAAGCATTAAAAATTACGTAATCAGGTTCTATTATCTGACCTACTGTTGTCTCTCTTGAAAACGAGTCATGGGTAAGTTTAAATTAGACAAAGACTACCTACGTGCTTTCACCTTTTGCCAACAGTTTTCATGTCGATCCGTAGAGAACATCCTTGGGGTCAGCTACGAACGCTCATTGAGCAAAAGGAAAGTACGGATGAATTTGACGGCCAAAGATTGGTAAATATATATTTCACGCACTCTTATATTTTATTTCTTTTCAGAAATCTGGAATCATGAATTCTTTCGATTGCAGGCAGGCCTACCCTCGAAACGAGGAAA